CGAACTGGGTGACCTTGTGCAAGTTCGTCACCTGTCTGTGCTGGAGTTTCCTCTCTGAAAAACCCAGAATGATGGGAAGGTTGTTGGGAGGATTGAAGGAGGCAATGGGTATCCAATGCTTAAGATAGGGCTGGGGACTCCTTAGTGCTGCGTCGTTAGTCCTTGAGTGACAGCGGGTAGCTGTGTCTGTGCAGCAGGCAGATGTACAGGTGGTAGGTATGCTTTACAGCTTCCTCCCCCACCCCAAACCTCTGTTCTTCCTCCGGCCGCCTCCCAGAGCCCTTCACCCCAGTCTACATTTTAGGTTTTCTTTCCTCTTTTTTTCACCGAATGCCATGATTTAGTAAAGTGAGGGTAACAGAAAGATAGTTTATCTGTTAAGAGACAGATAACAGAAGTTGCCAAAGCCCCTTCCTTGTAAGATAGAAGCAGGCAAGAGGCTTAACCGTGGAGAAAAGGTGGAGGAGAATTTCAGGGCTGCAGGATGCTCATCACGTCGAGTTTAGGGAGAAATCTGAAATAGTTATGATGCAAGTCTAAATTATTCATTAATGCCAAAGACAGAAATATGTAATAAACCTTCGGTTAACAAGATCCACCAAAAGCTGAACAAATCTTCTGTTTTACCTTTGTCTACATTCAGCTTGTAGGAGAAAAGAGGCAAATGGCAATAAAACAAGCCTGTAATCTTTTTTTTTTTTTAATTAAATGAAAAAAAGTGAGGGGATATCCTGGAATGAGTTTGGAAGTAGCTAAATTCCTTCCTCGTTGTAATTATTATCATTACCATGTAAGAACCAGTGTTCAGAATCAAAATCAGGACATTTCCTTCATGAAACACAGCACCTGCTTTTGGAATCATAACTTTGAACTAGAGGATGGACCTTTACATTATACTTTTGGGAGTATTTGCCAAGGCAAAAGAACAGACTAGAAAGGTTAATGACCAGTGAAAGATGAAACCCGAGGCTTTCAGATTAACCCCTAGTTCACTAGGACACCTGTTTCTGGAGCATGCCCGTTCTTGGTGAGTGTGTCTGCAGAACCCCAAGTTAGACAGCCTCTCTGCCCTTTGGGCTTTCAGGCCTTCTTGGCATTTGAAAGCAAGACCCGGCTCTTAAAAATAAAATGAAATGGCCCTTGGCCCGGTTCACGTTATTTAAATTGTGATTATGGGATTATAAACCAGTCCCGTGGACTTTCCAGCTCTGTGCAAAGGAGTCATTTCCACGTGTACTTTCTGAGCCACCAGAACTTACATTCCTGCTTAGGCTGTTGAAGAACTTCTCTCTGATTTTTATGCCTCCTTTGTCAAAGTTCAGTTTATTTATTCGTTTATTCAACAGATATTTACTGAGCTTTTACCATGTGCCCTTGCCTGTAGGCAGTGGGGTTACAACAGTAAACAAAACAGACACAAGTATTTTAGGTCCTATTGGAGAGAGAGACAGTAAACAAGCGAGACATTTCGAATGCCTAGAGGTGGGAAGCGCCAGGAGTGAGGCAGGCAGTGTTGGGCATTTGTGGGGGTTTTGGGTTTTTTTTAAATATATCTTTATTGATTTCAGAAAGGGGAAGGGAGAGAGAGTGAGAAACATCAATGATGAGAGAGTCGCCATTGAACCACTGCCTCCTGCACACCCCGAGCTGGGGATCATGCCCGCAACCCAGGCATGTGCCCTGACCGGGAATTAAACCACAATCTCCTGGATCTTAGGTCAATGTTCAGCTGTTGAGCCACACCCGGCCGGGCAGGCATTTGTGTTTTAATAAGGTCATCAGAGCAGGTCCTTCTGAGAACAGGACATAGGCCATCTCAAGGAGGAGAGAGAGCGATGGTGTGAAATGTTCTCTATTTAAGTTTCGCATTTCACCTAGAGCCCCATTCACCTACTAAATAACCAGTTGGCACAGAGTTTACAGTCTTTTTATTAAAGTTACATAAAACTAATACCTCAAACTCAAGTGTTAGCGTTAGGCAAAACAAATAGAGAAGCAACAACTGTTTGCAGGGTGCTGGGAACTCCCATCTCTGGGGACTCAATCCATGTTGTGCTCCCTTAAACTCACCCACCACTGACTCTCTAGTGGTGGCACTAATGGAGTTCCTAATAGGACCAAACTCAAAAGGCACACAGTGGCACATACCCTGCCCCCGTCACCCAGTACCACTCTTCAGAAGGAACCTGCGTTACCTGCTTCTTGCTGCTCTCCCGAGATGTTCTGTGTGTGTGTAGACTGAGAAAACCAAGCAAAAAAGCCCCTCAAACGTAAACTTATGTGTGCTGGACTTTTTCCAGTCACAGTCTGTCTTGGTGGATCGCTCATGTCAGTGCCTATAGAGTTATCTTATTTCTCTTTAATGCCTGCATAATGTTCATAAAATAAATGCTCCACGGTTGACTTAACTTACTTTCCATTGATGTCTGTTTAGGATATTTTGAATCTTTTGCTGGGATAAGCAATACTGTAATGAAAATCCTTGAATGTATACGATTTTGCTTACACTCAGTAGTGTATAAGTTAGATTCATAGAGGTGGACTTGCTAGATCAAAGGGAACGATTATTCACGTTTTGATCGTGATGACCAGATGGCTACCTGTTGCGATGGTACCATTTACACTCCCACTAACAGTGTAAGTGCCTCTTCCCACAGCTTCACCAACACAGTGTGTTATCCAACTCTGATCTTTATCAACCCAGTAAATGAAACATGCTCTATCTTTGTAGTTTAGTTGTGTTCCTCTTGTTATGATTGCAATTATCTGTGATATTTTCCTTTTTTCATAAGACTCTATCCCCTTTGTCTGTATTTTAGGTGTGCTGACAATTATGTTTTTATTTTCATATCAGGCTGACATTCCGGTGTTTTATTCCCCAAAGCAATAATATTAAGAAAGGACATATCTGGGGGTTGGTGGGTGAGTGGGTGGGTGGGGAGAGGTTAACCAAAGAATTTATATGCATATATGCATAACCCAAGGACACAGACAATAGTGTGGTGAAGGACTGGGGAGGGGAGTGGGTGCGGGGTGGAAGGGGTCAATGGCAGGAAGAGGGACATCTGGGATATTTTGAACAGTAAAAAAAAAAAA